TCATCTGTTAAGGTTCTGAAAGGAAAGGAAAGGACTGGAGTATGAAGAATGTGTGGATGAATGAATCTGATATCATCTGTTAAGGTTCTGAAAGGAAAGGAAAGGACTGGAGTATGAAGAATGTGTGGATGAATGAATCTGATATCATCTGTTAAGGTTCTGAAAGGAAAGGAAAGGACTGGAGTATGAAGAATGTGTGGATGAATGAATCTGATAGTAAAGGATTACAAGTTTTATCCCGGTAAATATAAAGTCAGTTTTACATAATTTTAAGAATTTTGATAATATTTTTGCACCGCGAAAATTTTACTTTAAAAAGGGGGGGGGAGAATTTTTCAAGAAAATATACACCCTTTGCTTTAAATAACCCAACTCTACTTTTATTTTTTTTTGCTTCATTGATTCCAAAGTTTGCAAATTCCACAGTAAATGTTTCTGATTTTTGACGATTGGCTATTTTTTACACAGATATTGGAAAAAGTTTGCCTTTTCATAAAAAAAAATGTATCTACTGTTAAAAAGTGCAAAATTATTTTCTTTAAAATCTTTCTTTTCATAAGTTGAATTATTTCAGGAGACTTGAGGCAGCTACAGGACTCTCAACAGATAATAAAGAAGAACCATTTATGATTGGTACATTTTCATAAACACTCCCTTTAATTGTTTTCAAGGGACTGTAAGCGTAATTTCAAGTGACCCTTCTTGCAAAGATGACAATGCCTGATTTACATCAATCTGATCAAGAATGCGGAAGATATTGTTTTTTTCTGAATAAAGAAGTGTTTATTTCTTTGAGCTTCTCCATTGTTTCCTTATAAACGAGAGAAACCGCAAATTATAATAAAACAGTTTAAAAAACAATATTATTGATATATATAATATATACTTGATCAGACAAACGATTTAATGCTACCGTTGTAAATCGGGCATTGGTACAGAGGGTCACTTGAAATTAAACTTACAGTCCCTTTAATTTCAAGATTGGAAAGAAGTTATGTAGACCTAGTTGAGTCACTTCTCTTGTGCGCCAGTTTAAGTTAAAAAAAAAGTGGTTCAACAAAGTATATCAACAAATAATATTCATTAAAGGAATTGAGTTTTTGCCACAAACTCTGATTTTCTAATTCAAATATCTTTGCAATCCAATAATGTAGACCTTAATTATTTCAAACTATGAATTCTGTTAGAGCAAATTATCTAAATTTGAAGTTTTAAAGTTTTTCACCATCAGGTTGCAAAGATATGGAGATAGGTAACTTTTAGTTTGTGGCAGATTAAATTCCTTTGGTCCTTAAGGTTGATTTTAATTTCGAAATATTAATAAAAAATCCTATTTCTCTCTTGATATAAAGTTCAAAATATTTAAAATTTGAGTTAGTTAGGTTCTATTTAAAGTTTCTACACCCCAAGTTATCTTTTTTATAATTTTGTTTGATTAAGGAAACTATGGTATTGGAGGTTCGTATGGAGTTCATCCTGATTATCATCATCCAGAATCATCAACAGGAAATTGTTATTAATAATAGAATAAAAAAAAACCAAAGATGATGTAAAGTTTTTATTGTCTACGTTATCACTATAGTTTCAGTAGAAGTAAATATTTCCATTTACTGATAGCGCCGATTGAATGATTCATATCTCTAATTGGATAATGAGATAGATGTTACCGCCGTACTATTTCTATTGGTTCAAATAGACATCAAACAAATGAATGAACACTGATTTTATCCGGCGCTAATGGACTGGCATACAGAAGAGTTTATTCGATATTTTATTAATATCTGATTGAAACGATATCTTTTAACTCTTTGTCTGGTCAAGGGATCTGGCGGAAAATCTTTATGCTTCTCTTTCATTCTTAATCCTTTATTATCCAAAGTATAAAACCTAATTAGTAAACAGCATTAAAATAAAATATTAGTGTTGCCGGGGAAGTTTAAATTCAGTTTGAGAAACAAAAATTCGAATAGCCATGCGTTACCTCAAAAATGTTCAGCCGTTTGACCAACCTATGGCTAACATATACATAGATGATGTAAATAAATTGATCAGTTTTTTTATCAATAATCATAACTATTCTAATAACTAATAATTGCTAGATAATCGAATTATGACAACAATGACAGGTAATCAAATTTAAATTTGGAATTTATTTGGGATTTAAGAACCCTAGAAAGTGCAAATCTATTGCAAACAACGAGGTTATTGTGTGTAGAGTGATGATGTACGCTATTCCTTTTCTAATTGTATAGGCTATGAACTATACCGAGAGCGTACTGCATGCATATTTGTTTATTATAAGGAGATTCTGGCCTAACCTATATAGTATATCAATATTAGTAAACAGTTGTAATTGTACAGTTTAGCTAACAGAGCCCAAAACTTAAGACAGAGTATCGTAATGAAAACCAGTTTTAAAACTCGGGTTTCGCGAATGGGGTTAGGCAGTTTTGTAAATATCAATATTCTTGTAATGAAATATTATTTTTTTCAAGTTGTTTATATTCTCCATTTTTTTCGAATCTCTTAAATCAAAATCTACACAAATGCTAAGACCCCAGAAAAGAAACTCGGTAGTTTCGTTCAACGATACTCTTTTAAATTTCGGGCTCTGAGCACACGGGTAGAGAACTATCATCCCCCTGATTGCAAAGGTCATAAGAACATGGTTGAAAAGACTTCATCAATAAATATATTGATTAGAAAAAATGGGACTGTATACGGACTTCCATTTAAATATCCGTTTTATAAAACTTTTCACTTTTCACTAAACGCTACTATATCTTCGGTCAATGTACTGCAGATTATTGCAGAACGCACCGAAAGCTTAGTTAAGGGTGGGTAAAGTTAAAAGCTTTGTCTGATAAAGTATTAATTATATATCAATTTTTCTCGTTTTGAAAATTGAATTTTACCAGAGTGTCTTGTGCATTTACAATGCAAAAATTATCAGAATTAAACATTTTTGTAAAGAAAAACGACGATATTTTCAACTTTATTGATCATGTGAAAAGAGTTGTGAATCTACCAAGCTCCTCTGTAAATGAAGGGTCACTTAAAATTACAAGAACAGTCCCTTTAATTAAATTATTAGTTGTATCAAGCCCTGTCCAGGGAGGAACTACAGTCTGGCCATTCCTTGGAGTATCAGTAATATTACAAAAGGTAATTCTAGACTTTACCCAATTTAGATGAGGGCTGGGCATGATCAGAATTTTTCAGTTGTTAGTTAACGGTTGGTTAACGTACCTTCTTTAACGATCGGCAACAAAACAACGTCCGATTGGTAACGATCATCGAAAAGCTACAAAATATTTCTTACATAAACTTCTCTCTTACTGCAGAATCTTTTAAAAATCAAATCTTATAAAATTAAACGCTATAAAATGTTTAAAAATACAATAGCTTTTTCTATATCATCGTTTTGTTTTTTGTTTTTCAAAAGATCGTTATATATATATATTCTCCCACGTTTTTTCTAACTACGAAGGTTCGTTAGCTTTGCAAAATCAAAAACGAAACTGAACACTATGGTTTTTACTAGACACTTATTAAATCACTAATTAAGTGTAATCGGTCTGTGTACACTGCACAATATCTAGGTCCCATGCTCATTGAACTATTTAAATCACTTTACATAGGCTTAATGTTTATTTTTATCCAATACATTTTTTTTAATCTTGTTAAATTTTAGGGCGATACATTGATTTGGAAAAATCTTTCTAACGAAGGTATGCATTTTTTTCTTCCAAAAGTTTTTCTGTTTTAATTATGTGTTTTTTTTTCACCTCTAATAATTTAAACCAGCCTCATCTGAAAGTGATTGTTCTCTAAAATCTAAACGAAACTTTTTTCTAAAATAGATTTTTTTTGCTATGTTGCCTTTCTTCAGGAGGTATTCTGCACTTTTTAGAATTAAGTAACTAAAAAAGATATATTTCAAAGAGTTCAAATTTTCAGCGTTTTGGTGGTTTAAAAAACTGTTTTTTTTTCATCAAACTTTATTGCAACATTATTTTTTGAAAATTTGAATTTTTGAATATAATATTGAAAGATATTATCTCTGGAAAAAATATTTTTTTATTTGTAATTAGGCGATCCCTTAGTTCTAACCCACCATGCTGCTTGTCCTGTGTTACTGGGAGATAAATGGATTGTTAATAAGGTTTATTATCATTATTAATAATATTAATAATAATAATGTTAAGAATAATAATAATAATAATAATGATAATGATAATAATAATATTTTCAGTGGTTAAGTTATAATGAGCAGTGGAACAGAAATAAGTGTATGAGAACAGCTGTGAATAAATCAATGAAGTGATTTTGTCAAGAGATTTTTAGTTTTATATATAAAATTTGTAATTTCCTTTCTTGCCCTTACGTGCGTCAATCTTTACATGCGTCAATCCTTACATGCGTCACTTTTAGTTTTGAGATAAAAGGTTACTGTTAATTATCTTTCTCTTTAGATGGAGGTTCATTTAAAAAGCACATCGACGGACATCTTAAAAATGTTTGCTCTAAAAAAATTGTCCTTCGTTATCTCAGGCAAACCATCTTATAAGCTATGAAGTCCCGGCGGATCAAGAATGCACATAAGTTAATTTTGTGTGTATAGCAAAGGGTATCCACAAAGGATTACATTGTAAAGACGACTTAAAAAATCGATAGTTATGATGATTCCAAGGTTAAACAGTCTCATCCTTTGTGGGTAACCCTGTATCTTGCTCAGGAAAAAAACTTTTTCTTATTTGCTCTCACCCGCATTCTCCTTCCCAGTTTGTAACTGTACCACGTCCCTGAATGCATCTAATGCTAAGAATGATGAATCCTCATGAAGTTTGTTAAACTTTTCTAAACTCTACTTCAAGTTCTTTAAAGTACAAAACTTTAAACTTTATTACACTGTGGATATTCCAACTTAAAGGGATAGACCGGCAATGTGACATATTTGAGCTGAAAGTGCAGTATTGTATTCTACTTTTGAATTTACCTTTTTTTACATTGAACAATACTACAAGAAGAGTGTAAAGTCAATTGTAATATTTCACCAGTTATTTTAACCAGCGAAGAAATTTTTTTTTGCAATTCTAAGAACTAGTCATGCATATGCATACAAACAGGTTGAAAAAAATGATTAACTTTTATCTTTGAAAATAAGTTATCAAAATTCATTTTAAAATCTCATAGGTTTATGCAAATTCTTTCAGCTAGGGTTGCTTGTCGGAGGTTTTCTTCATTTTTACTGTGAGGAAGACATTTTAAACAGATCAATTCTTCGGTTCTACAATATTTTTTTAATGAAATATGTTCCTAAAGAGTAAATTAGTTTTTAACTTATTTTTTTTACATGTTTTGTCCGGATTATTAAAAACTTGTAAAAAAAACGTTTCTTCTGCTGGTTGAAACAATTGGTGAAATATTACAAACGACTTTTATCTCTTTTTAATAATTGTTCACCGTAAAATATCTCATTGATATCAAATGAATCGGAAAGTTTTTCTTTACAATACTGCACTTTCAGCTAAATATATTACATAGCCGGTTTCTCCCTTTAGCTCTATCCCCATTGGGCTACTTTTGTAATAATAAATCACACAGCTATTGCCATTAAAAATATGTAAAACTAGTGCTGAAGCAGGTGAGCTTTAATAGCTTAGAGATCTCCTGTGATCCTTAAGATATCAAAAATACTTTGAAGAAGGTTAAAGGTTGCAGTTGGTAAAGATAGTAAGGTAAACTGAAGTGGTTGACAGACACGCAATCAAAGTAAATTACATTAAGAAAACATAGAGACATAAACAACCATTCATAATTTCCTTTAGGCTCCTATTACAGATTTTTCCCTTATTTTTCAAATGTTTTCTGAATAGTCAACTCCTGCTAAGTTACATTTCTGTATATTTTATGTTGAAAGCAAATAGTTTTGCCAAAAGAAATTCCCAAATTAATTGGATCCGAGCTGAAAACTTTAGAATGGTGGATATCGAGATTAATGCTTGATTCTCTCTTTTTGCTAATATCCAGACTAATTTAGTCTTTTGATTAATTTCTAGAGATTCGAGATGTGCTTTTTAACTTTTGAAAAACCGGTTTTAATTTTCCCGCAATTGTGGTGTCATATCTGTTGGACTAATGATCAATTGAACGAATGTAAGTTTTGGATTAATGTTTATTAAGACTATAATACTCAAATGTGATAAAATATGTTTTTGATAAGTTCATATTAACATGATTAAATTTATATCTGTTTAAATGCTCTAAAAAAACAGCTTGGGAACAGCTGACTATGAATAAAATATTAGTCCAATCGATATAGCATCATATCTGTATTTTGTAATCAAACGTATCTTTATTACATGTAGTAGAAAATTTAATAACCAACAAAAGCGGATTAGAAAGAAAATTAAAAGTTTCCACAATGGATATTCAGATTAAGCGATCAGGATTAAGGGTATCCAATTCTAAAGTTTTCAGCTCAGTGCACAACTGCACACAGCACACTACACATTTGCTGCATATTTTATTAAAATCTTACAATTTAAACTTTATTTCGACTAATGATAAACATTTTTAAAGCTATTATATACTTACATAAAATTGCAGTATGCCAGGAGGAGCTCTTATTTAGCCGATAAGAGCTGTAAGAGCTGTATGCAATGATAAGAGCTGTATGCAATGATAAGCCATACACAAAAAATTTAAAGTGGAGAAAGTAAGGATAGTAGGAAAGGGGGAAAAAATAATTGCCTACTGTTGATTTTTACGAGTAATTTGCATGTCACAGTCGTCTTCTTATTTTAAAATTCCCAGGGAATTAGTTGGTCCAGAGCCCAAGGAAAACAAATGGAGAGAGTTCAGGGTCCAGGGGAAACTATACATTTTTAATGCCAGAGATTGATTTTGCACATTTTGTAATAAACCTAAATATTTCACTGTTTTCCTTTTTTAATTCATTGAAATAGAATGAACAGGACCGAAATAATTTTTTTTCATCTTGAGCTGACTTTTACTATAGCTTTCTTCTTTTTTGTACTTTAAGCAATTTTTATCTGAAAATTTGAAGACACTTAAAGGGAGTGACCGGCACTGTATGGTGGTTAAACTGAGATTGCAATTTGCAGTACTTTTTTGTACTTTAAGCAATTGTATCAGAAAATTTGAGGACATTTAAAGGGAGTGACCGGCGATGTATGGTGGTTATACTGAGATTGCAGTACTTTTTTGTACTTTAAGCAATTGTATCTGCAAATTTGAGGACATTTAAAGGGAGTCTCCGGCAATGTGTGGTGGATAAACTGAGATTGCAGTATTGCACAGAAATTTTTAGAATTCATTTCAGACATATAAAACGTTTTAAAGATCTATAATTACTGAGTTTGCGCTTTTCGACAAATGCAAATGAAAAATTGTCTAAGGAAAACCAAACCAAACCGATTTTTGCATATATACTTTTCTCTCTGGGTTTAAATTTTGTAAAGTGAATAAGGAAACCAAATCTATATATGAATTTGGTGTGTCTCTTTGTTAGGGTGTCTGTTTGTTTGCTTGTATCCAATAAACGTCAAAACGGCTGAACCGAGCGGGCCCAAATTTTTTGTGGGACATCACGTGACCGCAGGGTAGGTTTATGAATGATAAAAATTTTTAAAATGTGTTTTAAAGGTTTTTATTTTTTTGAAATTTAAATTCTTGAAAATGTAAACAAAAAGAACATGTTCACAATTTAAATAGAAGATGGGCGCGAAGCGCACTAAAAGCCTGGTGTTTAGAAAAAACAATATTAAAATGTGTAAAGCTTATTAGATTTTTGTGGAACATCTAAAAGGCCAAAACCATTTTGGTGGGAATTTTTAGTTTAATGGAAAAAGAGGTTTTTGTTTAACGGTAGAAAGTGAGAGGATAGCTTTTAAAATATTATTTTCAAGTTTGATAAATACTTTCTTAACTATCATCAGTCATGTTAAGTGAACCACCCTGTAAACTCCCAAAATAATTTTATTCTCCGAATCCGTCCTCTTGTGGGAATTCTTTTTATTTGAATCTTTAGAAACTTGAGTCTTTTCAACAAAATGACATTTGAGAAATTTGCAGAAAATTCTTGCATGAGTTTCTGCAAAAGGTTGGCAAATTTTCCTTTTTGCGGGATTATAAAAGTCCGCCTCAGCAACAGTAGTTCATGGGTTGGGAAGAGAGATTCTTTCCGGGGGAGTTAAGTATTATCTTTTCCTATAAAGAAGAGGCATATTCAAGAATTACTCTTACAAGAAGTTACTAAATAGTCTTTGTCTAAACCGATGTCAAGAGTAAAAAATGCCTAAAGAGCAAAATAATATCACTAATGGTGCAATGTATGTTCATGTGCTAATATATCTAAATAGGACAAATCTAGATGATTTTTAAAGTTCTTAGCTTTTTATAATTTTCACTGCTCAAAAAGAGCCCTCGATTTTAAAAACACGAGAAAATATAGCTTGGGTTTTAGCTGTCGTTGGGTAGGGATGTTAACGTTTTCATTTTTAAGAAAAACGATCGTTTCGTTATGAAAACGACGACGAAAAATCGAAAACGAAACGATCGTTTTTTTTAAAAAGTTCGTTTTTTAAAAATGGTCGTTTTGAAAACGATCGTTCTTCAAAACGCTCGTTTTTATAAAATTCGTCGTTTCGTTAACGATCGTTAACGACGTAAATAAGGCCCAGGGCCCAGGGCCTTATTTACGTCTTGAGCTTTTGGATTCAAGCTGCATCTTATTTTCCACAAACCAAACTAATTTTCTTTTTGGTGGATTTTCATGGAAGAAATCGGCGCATTCCGGGTTTTTATGAGAACAAGACGCAACATTGAGCCTTATATTCTCTACTAAAACCAACCAAGGTCGGTTTTATTTTCATTCGGCCTAACTCCTTCAGTCAAGCCGAAGATCTGTCAATCCCGTGACACAAGCTGTCGTTAGATTTTGGTCAAAGAATGGTCTTACAGTAGGGTATAAGGAAATACGGCTCTAGTCGAAATTTTTAAATCGCGGGCTCAGTTCTGTAATCTACCCTGTGCGTTTAATAAAGTGAATTCATTAACCTTAAAATGTGACTTGATAAAAAATTAAAAATAAATAAATTGATAAAGTTAACAAGTTTTGCAGAATTTTTTTTAATTGGTGGATTTCGTCAAAATTTTGAAATCTAAATAGCTTTGCAACTTAATTTTTCGGTGTTTTCAAACTAAAAGCCACAAAAAAAGGGAAGCTGTATCATTTCATTTATTTTAAAGAACAGTTTTTGAGAACACTTTTTTTGGTAGTTTCTATGATGTGGAGAAACTGAGCGTGACAGGCAGAATGTTCCTGTTACCTTTATTTCTTGGAAAG